GGCACGCTAAAGGAAAATCATAAAGAAAAATCTGTGAAACAATGTGAACATTTAACGTAATGGCAAAGAAAAATTAGCTCATGTGCTTTATTCAAATTAAGAAACGAAGGCTTCAGTTAAACTAACTACATAACCAAATTTACTGATAATGCAGCATTTAGAATGTAAACGTATATATGAAAAAAATATAGTCATTCTTATTTTTCTTGCTCATAAATAGCTATTGGTGAATACTGCCGGTAGTTAAGGGGCCAAATGCCGGTAGTTAACTTGCCATTGCAAGATCACGATATAATGCTCTTAAAAAAGACACAACAAAAAGAATGTATATTTAGCTATTAATAGAATTAATCAACGTAAAATAATTTTGCTGTTTGGTTAACAACTCAAGACTATCTTCATCGTCATGATATCAGATACAAATGATACATATGTTGCAACGCACACATTACTAAACGCGGTAGTTATTATATGATAATTAAAGCTTTTAGTGACTAAGACACTCAACAGCAGCAAAATTTTCTACTATAGCCCATGTTGTTACATCTTTCAAATAAGAAAAACCATGTAGTTATATATATATATGTGTGTGTTCCTTAAACCATTGGCGTCAATCCTGTGTTGATTGGGGGGGGGGGACAATATTCTCATATTCTGCTATGCCTCGCTACTTTCTTTTCAAAACAATTTCACTTTTAAAAGAAATTATCCTGGCATAACAGAATATATGAATATGGTCCCCCCCTAATTATCGCAGGATTGACGCCCATGCCTTGAAGAAGGATTTCAAAAAATGTCTGTTTAATTATTCACTATTCACAACTCGTTTACGCAAAAGCGAGTTCAATAAGCAAAGTATTTGCAATTGAGACGTATAGAGAAAGGGAAGCACATGTTCGTCTTGCAGCAAACACAGTGAGTAAAGATGTTTGTAAAGTTTCTAAAGTCTTTACATACTTTGTAGTCTTAATCTATAATGCTCACATATTTGACACGCGCCCGTTAATTGTACTTATGTTTTTTTCTCCACGTTTAAGGTTGAGAGCATTCACCTTTTCTTTGTCTTGTGACTACTTCATCGTAACAATAATACGAAAATAAAAACGAAAAACATATCTATGCCGTCTAAAAATCCAATTCGTATTTGACTTTTATTAAACAAGTATCCATGCATGGTCATATTAACAATTCATGGAGGGGTTGGTCTATGCCACATAATGCCAAATTTTGTCTTGGAAAGATGCCGATTGCCACATAAAATACCACATATTATCTTTGAAAAATTCTGTATGCCACATAGATAGTGTCCAAAAAAATGGCCGTAAAACGTCATTTGGTAACTGCAAAAAAATCACATTGAATTCTTAATATATTGACGATGAGTATAAATTCAATAAATGTTTTTTGCTGTGCATTCCGGCTTTTGAACTTGTGAATTGAACAACTTGATACCGGCTATATCTTATAAATACTTACTGTTCTGTAGCCAACAAACTTTGTTTCAATTTTTTGTGACACATCAAGTGCACAAAAGTTGACATGTTTCAGTTTTTGTGACACATCAAGTGCACAAAGTTAACATGTTTCAATTTTTGTGACACATCAAGTGCACAAAAGTTAACATGTTTCAATTTTTTGTGACACATCAAGTGCACAAAAGTTAACATGTTTCAATTTTTTGTGACACATCAAGTGCACAAAAGTTAACATGTTTCAATTTTTTGTGACACATCAAGTGCACAAAAGTTAACATGTTTCAATTTTTTGTGACACATCAAGTGCACAAAAGTTAACATGTTTCAATTTTTTGTGACACATCAAGTGCACAAAGTTAACATGTTTCAATTTTTGTGACACATCAAGTGCACAAAAGTTAACATGTTTCAATTTTTTGTGACACATCAAGTGCACAAAAGTTAACATGTTTCAATTTTTTGTGACACATCAAGTGCACAAAAGTTAACATGTTTCAATTTTTTGTGACACATCAAGTGCACAAAAGTTGACATGTTTGGAAAGTTTCATGTTGCCTTGTGAGAGTATAATGCATTGTATAGATTTTTTAATTTTAAGAAGTTGCTCAAAATGTGTGCTGCTTTATCTAGTTTGGAACAATTGATTCTTTAGTCTAACATGTTTGATCTCTTTTAAAACCAAATAAATCAGAAATTGAGCGTAAAACAACACGCTATAGCTCATTCAATCTCCGTGCAAGTCAAAAAAACTCAAACATTCACCTTAGAGTAAAGGATGCTGCTACAACATCTTTAATTTTGTTTTCTGCATTTTTTGGATTCTTATGCAATTTTTTTTTCGCAACCATTTTACACATAAATTGAGTGGTGGTGTTTTTTATGATAAAACATATATAAATGTAAAAGATTTTTTACTTCTTTAATTTGGAAGACATAATCACAGTAAAAATAAAACATGGCGTTTTTGCTTGTACACAGTTCTGAGACTCTTTTCATTGCATCTCGTCCACTGTGTCCAATCAGCGTCTGATTCAGCTCATGCATGATAAGATATAGGATTTATAATAAAAATTAGAAAACCACTTGCAAAATTCAGAATATCATATGTATTTTCGATTTCGTTTATTTCAACCCAGTTTGTATATTTTGGACTTCCAAATTCAAATTTTAAGGTTCTCCGTTTGGCCAACTGAGCCATTTGTATCCTTCTCAGTATTGCCACAGAGACACTAATTAACTACAGAGCCTCTTTTGTCGGCCATAGGTGAACCTGTTTTGCTTCGTATCAGCCACGTGATATGTGTATGTCATACGAGTGCATTCTTGATCTAACATTGCTGACTTGAACCTTGTTATAAATGCAGCTGCTTTTTTCAATGTAACATATCTCTCTTAATTAGCTATCATTATAATTTACAAATTACTTCGGTTTGCGGTCAATATCTCTGTACAGAACTGATATACTACTCATTCCGTGGGAAGATCCTTTATGAGGATGAATCATGTGGTCGAGGACAAGAATGACAACAACCGCAAGAATGTGGCCATCTGCATTCCAGACCACCGTATAGAATGAAAATAGCTTATAAAACTCGCTACTTTTGTTTATGAAGCATTGCACGATGTTAGTTAAGTGGGTTTCACGATTGCCAGCATTTGCTGCTCAGATTAAAGTGCCTATATCACCCTCAGGAAAATAATTTATTTAGATAGAGCTGAAGATTTTAAGAACACTTGAAAAATATTTTGTAAGACAAAAATTTGATCTTCTTTGACTTTTTGGGCCTCAAAGTGGCTCTTTTTGTGTTTGACTGTGAGGTGCAGTGACTGGGTCTAGTTTATTGGATGTGACGTCATTGGAGAACACGCTGTTTTTAACGCTGTCGTTTATAGTAAAATTTGTAGCAAAGTCAAGAAAATTTTTTATCAAGCTTGAGTTATATTGTGCAATTTGAATCACACTGTATTTTTATAGCGTTAAAAAGCAGCGTGTCCTCAAGTGTACGTCACATTACAGCACCTCTCGGTGAAACTAGAAAAAAGCCAACTTTGACGCCGAAAAAGTAAAGAAGATCAAATTTTCGTCTTACAAAATATATAGCAAATGTTCTTAAAATAGTTAATTCCATCTAAATAGATAAACTTCCTGTAGGTGATATAGAAATATCTGAGTACATTGTTAACACTCAACATACCGGCAGAGAACAATTAGCCGACGTGATTTATTCTAATCAATAAACGGGGCTTCAATTGAACAAACTATATTATACATTAGGTATATATTAAGTCAATATTACTTATATTGCATGCATATATTTGTGACGTAGCTACGCATAGTAAAGAGAATATAGTAATACATATTCTGCAGCTTGCTCATAAATATCTTTTGGTGCCAATGATAATTTTTCTTTGGACTAAGATCTGGGCTTTATCTTCATCTTTTATGTGCACCTTAAAAGTCAACCCATGCTGTTATTCTTGTGATCAATTTTTGCTCAGAACTAGAAATGATCATTCATCTGACACAATAATCCACATTGTTACAGGGATTAGAAAACTGCAATAGTGATGATACATTTTTATACAGTTTCGCATTACGTAAGGTTCGTTACCGCGTGAAATGAACGAATTCCACAAAACTGCAGTAGTAATGATACATTTTTATACAGTTTCGCACTACGTAAGGTCCGTTACCACGTGAAATGAACGAATTCCACAAAACTGTAGTAGTGATGATACATTTTTATACAGTTTCGCACTACGTAAGGTTCGTTACCGCGTGAAATGAACGAATTCCACAAAACTGTAGTAGTAATGATACATTTTTATACAGTTTCGCACTACGTAAAGTTCCTTACCGCGTGAAATGAACGAATTCCACAAAACTGCAGTAGTAATGATACATTTTTATACAGTTTCGCACTACGTAAGGTCCGTTACCACGTGAAATGAACGAATTCCACAAAACTGTAGTAGTAATGATACATTTTTATGCAGTTTCGCACTACGTAAGGTTCGTTACCGCGTGAAATGAACGAATTCCACAAAACTGCAGTAGTAATGATACATTTTTATGCAGTTTTGCACTACGTAAGGTTCGTTACCGCGTGAAAAGAACGAATTCTAACTTTATCTTTTCTGTTCACCTCAAAGATGTACACGTATGCGAAAAGCAAAAGTTAAATGCGTGTCGAATATATGCTGTAATATACAGTGAGATAGTTTCCTCTTTCCCACGAGTGAAAAGCAAGTATTCCCACAGCTGGCTCAGTAACTGAGTGTTTTTACTTTTCAACTTCCCATGCCGAGTGCATGTGCAAAATTAGTTCCCCTTTTTCAATACTCGTTACGTGTTTAAGATGCTTATGCTCCATATGGCTACTATTTTGTAGATAACTTTGACATACGCCATAATTATTTTTAACATCAGGCAAATACATATTACATAAACATCACATATCAAAACATACAGTTGATATATTACAGACGTGACTCGTAGAAAAAAAAATTAAGTAACAAGAAAAATGAAAACACGGCAGACTGTATTTATTTTTTATCATCTTCATGTTAGCTACTTCCCAGTTCATTTACTCATAAAAGCAACCGATCAATCAAACATACAGTTATTCAATAAAATTGAATGGTGTATAGTTCTAAAAAATAACGCAGTGAAGAAATGTTCTGGCAGGGAAACCATGTTTTTGACCTTATCTAGCTTTATAGCATTTTGATGTATGATTTGACCCGAGCTCCAAGCTTCTGCGCAATTGTTGGGCGAACTCTGGCGTATACTTCCTCGTTGAGTTCAAAGATATTTGCCGAGATCTTCAGTTTGACATCAGTACTTTTGTAGGGGACGAACAAAAACTCTTTGCTTACATTTGCAGCTTCAAAATAAAATCCAACAACGACAACATTTACATGATCATTTTTATCAATCTTCACAAGAACCATTTGAAAGTTGGCTGAGTTTCCAGAAACGCTGTGTGTTGCAAATAATTCTCGGTCAGCCAAAATCGAATGTTTCATGGCATCAATCGTCTCCTTGATAACCTCAACAGAGCTTTTCGACAAGCCCTGTATTGACTCGATGATCGCATTTGAAATCTCAAATGTCGACTTGGTTGGTGCGTAATCGATGAACGAGCCAGAATGAGGAAGATTGTAGCCAATATTCTCGAGGATATGAATGTAAAACTTGTACCAGTTTACGTAGTCTCTCGCGCGGTCGAATTTTCTGTCGGCTGCTAACTGAGCTAAAAGCGTGGAATACAGCACGTCTTGCTTGTTCTGCTCGGATACAGACCCAACAAATGATACTAAGCTGCCGTAATCTACATATCCCTTGTCATCTGTTTTCGTTAATCCTTCCAATCGCGAAACTGGTACTGGTGTAGTAGTTTTACATATGACAAATACAAAAAAAAACACGGAACTCAAAATACCCATTTTTTCAATGGTTGTTCGTTTCGAATTCACTTTAGCGTTCTTTGTCGTTCTGCGGCGCAATAATCGTTCAAATGACCCTTGCAAGATTTGTATCAAGGTCGATAACAATCATCCAATAATATTCAACCAATGATATTCAACCAGTTTTGTTCATGCATTTGAGAAATTCAATGATGTAACATATACGTGTAAGTGCGTCAAACAACGAATGTATTACATATTGCAAAATCTAGAGTACGCAAGGGCTACGTTGGTCATTTGTTATCCTAACCATTTTCATTTTTATTCATTTTTCAACAATTCGACTCATAAATAAACACAGTTTGTTCATGGATATGACAAATTTAAGAAATATTAAATATTATACTCTCGGGCATTCAAGAAATAGCAAATGTCGGTAGGAGGAGGAGGGAGGGGGGGGGGTAGTGAGAGTGGAATACAAATTCATCAGTTGTGTATCTAGACTACCCATGTAGTATGAAGATGTCATCATCTCTGATATCTGCATCCACCATTTAAAAGTGTCTGCATTATTTGAGTATATTTTATAATGTACAAATTTGTTTTGTAGCATTTGCATTTTGATGTGTGTACTAACAACTGTAGAGACTTAGTGTGCTACTATACTTAACAATTAGAATTACGAGCTCGAGAATTCTATGAGGTGATCATGGAAATCGAGGGCGAGTAATCTAATTGTTTTATTAGAAGCGTACTCGTGTTCTGGCGTAAAGAAGTGGTTGCTATAGTTTTCCTTAATTTGCTGTTTTATGCATTTGTTGTTTACATCGTTTGCATTAAAAAGTGAATCACTCTTGGTCATTGCTCTTCGTTATTTCAACATAATTGTTGGGTGTTAGACCTTTCAATATATCAACGTATTTTGTGGCAACAGAGTTGCCTTTTGAAATAAACAAACGAGTTTATAGAAGTTTATGTAGTCAGAAACCTTGGTAAAACGCGAGAGGGCAGGGTCTGCAACCATGTTCAGTTTTACTACTCGCTGTCCGTTGCTTTGGTACTCGTTATTTATTGAAAAATAGGTAGAGTAGCCAATCAAATTGAAGCATTTTCTTCAGACTGTTAGTATGACCTAAGTATTACCAACTATTCACCCAACTATATCAAACCAACTATTCACCCTCTTGCTTCAAAATCATCGACACTGCCGACACCTCATTCACCCTTAAAATCAAAGAAGCACTCCACATTAACAAAACTAACCTTGACCTCAATGTTCAAGTTTTTAAATTCAATACAATATTTAGCTTATAATACGCTCGTACGCTCCCCATTAATTTATCTTATTTCCTTTTTATTGTTGTAATTTATGTATCATATTACTTTTATATAAACCTTGTATCACTTATTATTTCACTCATACTGAAGATGGCATCATGAGATGTCGAAACATGTCTATTTTAAAAAAACTTGTCGTGTATATTAAATGCGCATTAGTAATATTGCTTTTACGAAATTGGATACACAAGTATACACAAGAAACGTAAAGCAGGACAACCGCCTCCACTACGACCAATAATCTCATCAACAAACGCTTACAATTATAATTTAGCTAAGTATCTCAGTTCTATACTAACACCACTCATACCAGATGACCACTCCACTAAAGATTCTTTCACTTTCCTCAACGAATTCTAATCTTTCAACTCATCAACTTCATGTCAAAAATTCTTCATCTCCTACGACGTTGAAAGCCTATTCACTAACATACCGCTTACTGAAACGATCAATCTAACCATTGACGCTATTTTCACCAACAACCCTAAGTTCACCATGACCAAGACAGACCTAAAACAACTGTTTTTAATAGCAACGGCACAAACACATTTTTGATTTGATGGAAATTTTTATGACCAGATGGACGGTGTTGCGATGGGCTTTCCCTCAGCACCCATCCTTGCTAACATTTTCATGGGCTCACATGAACGAAACTGGCTAAACAATTACAACAACAAACCACTATTTTACCGCAGATACGTAGACGATATTTTTTGTGTTTTTCTAAGGAAACTGAGGCCATGAAGTTTTATAATTACATTAACACACAGCACGCAAACATTAGATTTTCATTTGAAACTGAACAACAAGATCAACTGCCATTTCTTGATATTTTACTAACAAAATCCCATGACAGCTGTACAACATCTACATATCACAAACCAACATACACAGGACTTCTGACGAACTATTTTAGTTTCACACCACTTTCATACAAAACCGGACTTATACGCACACTAATCGACAGATCATACAAACTTAACAATACGAACAACGGCTTTCAACGAGACGTAAAAAACATCACATCCACTCTTTTACGAAACTCTTTCCCACTACACTTTCATAACAGAACCGTAAAACGATATCTCGACAACAAACAAAGCAACAACCTCAAACTAGGCACCGAAACTCCTGACACGACGATCACGACCAACACAAATGAAAATTCCAAAATAACAACTCTATATTTCAAATTACCATATATCGGACATTACTCACGACACACACAGCGCGGACTTACAAACATTATGAAACGCTTCTGTACAGATATTGACATTCGACTAATTTTCACATCATTCAAAATCAAAAACCTTTTCTCATTCAAAGACCCAATCCCTGATTCAATTAAATCAATGGTAATATATGAATTTAATTGCGCGTGATGTAATTCCCGATACATTGGCGAAACTTCGCGCCATTTATCCACCAGAATTAGGGAACATACCACAACAGACAAAAACTCTAAAGTAAATGGTTTGAACCCGGGAGTATCGTTATATGTTTGTAAATGATGATCGTCCAAGTTAATAAAGTCCTCAGAAGGACTGTTTTCGATGTTGTTGACTGATGTTTCGAGTCAAATGACTCTGAAGATGACTACCGCTAAGGTTGTCGAAACGTCAGTCAACAACAACAAAAACAGTCCTTCTCAGGACTTTATTAACCTGGACGATCATCATTTTCAAACAGACAAAAACTCTCATATCTAGCGACGTCTTCTTAAATCTCACTCATGTAAAACCAACTATTCACAATTTTCATTGCTTTTAGCTAAATCGATTTTAAAAATTGAAATTTCACTTTGCAAGCAAATTTATTGCAAAAATTACTCCATGCGGACTAAGATCAAGATATCATAAAAACAATTTGTTGCTGCAACTAATAAGATTGCAGGAATAGCATTAGAAATGTGTAGATAAAAAGTTATCAACCAAATTGAAACAGTTCAATGTTAATCATCTAACGAAGACATACAGCTACTCGAGCATTTTCACCCAGATTTTCACAATATTGGGACGAAAGTTTCGACCATTTTACTTGAAGTTTGGACTATTTTCAATCTCTCAAAATTACTTCCTATCCCACTTAATCCAAGTTAACAGGATAAAGTGGCGTAACTAAGGGACAAAATCACTGGTAATTCACGATCAAGCCTGTACAGCGCATGGAAAGAGTGTGAAATTAGGCCAGTGTGAACATGACCTTTAGGTCTTGAAAGCATTCTTTCTGCTTTCAAAATTCAAATAACACAAGTCGTTTCTCTACAGTAAATCTACAACTGTCGATCACAAATGTCATGGTAATGTTGCATGAAGACAAAGTCTTGGTTGTTATACAATAAACGAACAAAATTCCAAAAATTTTCTTGTGCTCGTAGGAATTATTTTGATTCATCTTCGATAACAACTGAGATGGGTCGAAATGTTTACACTGCAAGTACATTTTCTATCAATTCTAGACAATTGTCCACAAATTATGTCGAGAAATCTTGCCTTCCGCTTTCAACCAATCTCATGAACGAAAATCGTTTGTAATATCACCCTTTTGCAAGTAAAGGTGCTTTTCTTGCAAAGGCTCAACATGTAATTCGGAGAATATTAAAAGACATGCAAAGTTCGATTGTCATAGTCAAACATAATTTGTGGAGATTCTTCAACTCCACCTAGTCGCAGGCTAATCACTTTCTGAAGCAGCGTCTTCTTCCTGTTCAACGACCTCCTTTAGTTTTGAAGTCCATGCATCAACTTCGTTGCCGTATATCTGATAGAAAAAAACGCAGACGAGTTAACGAGAAATAAATGATCACAGATCGGTGGATTAAAATTGAGCAAACGACATTGATCAGCCAATAAATGGCTATCTTTCAATTTGAGAAATTAGGGGCATAAACACCTTGTGTGTTTGGGATGGGAAGAGAGAGAGAGTAATGTTAGCTACCTCAATAGCGATGTCGTCAATAAATATACAATTACAATTAATACGTGTATTGATCAAATCGACCCGTAAATAAACCACATTGACTGTTAAAGATACATAGAAAATTTCATCATTGCACGTTGAGTCTTTACTAAATGAACAAATGCATCTTTTAACTAAAAGGAAAGCATTACAATTGGCCTTGGTAAATGTAGCTACATTGGTTAAGAAAGAGACGCCTCTGTCAGACAATGCTAATGATTGAAATTGGTCACAATGCTCTTTCTTTTTCTGCAAAGCGGTCACAAACAATTAGAAAAAATACGCAGTTCTTTCAACTATGTGCAATCTGTGTGAGCCATTAAACTTAAATGAAAAAATTGTTTAAGGCTCATAGTCATGGCAATGGCCAACTGAATCTATTTGTACTAATTTCAGACAAAATACCTGGCTTAGTCACCAATAATTAGATAAATCATCTGAGCGCATGCGCAGTCAGTTCAAGCATGTGCGGTCGACTTGACCAGCTGCCCAAATTCATGGTCATGGCAACGACCAACTGCATCTATTAGCCCCAATTTTGAATTAAATAGCATGCTTAGTAACAATTTAATAGAGAAATCATCTGCGCATGCGCTTAAGCATGCGCACTTCACTTGACTAATTGTTTATAGTCATGGTAACGACCACCTATATGTACTTGCACTATATTTGTGGCAATTAGCTCACTCAGTTGCAAATTATAAAAGAAATAATCTCGGCATGCGCAGTAGTGACTTTAATAATACCACAACTTTCGAAAGCCTTTAAATTTTTGTATATATATATATATGAAGCTAAAACTTCATATAGTAGATGTCAACTAGCAGAGGAAGCTGAGTGCGATATAGTATGCAGTAGCTTAGGGGCCCAGACTTCAGTCGCGACCGCACTCTCCCTGCGTACCCCGAGCAAAGCCTATCGCAGGTGATCTCGGGGTCTGATGGGCGGAAGCTTGCTATTGCATCTCCCAAGTAGGATAGCGTGGAGGGGCCGAAATCTCCTACCGAAACGTTAACATGCGGCGTTCTAGTGCTTTAAGATTAACAAGGTATGGCCCGAAAACTGGGTTTTTTGCTTTCGAATTTTATCTTTTTGTTTACAAGATTTCACCTCATAAAACAAAACAAGCAATGTTTCAATAATCGTGTTCTGACACTGTGCCTTTTTCTGACACTTATAATTTAAGACATAATTTGATAAAATTTTTATTGGTTTATATCTTTCTTATTTAACTCTCTCATTTAATGTTTCTCATGTATCACGGGCAAACCATCCATAGGCTTCATGGCAAAGAAGGATTATCTGGTTCCCTTAATTTAACAGATCTCTAATGCGACGCTCTAATGCTCAACTTTTGTCGTTCACATCTGTCACAATGACACTGACATTACACGATGAGCTGTGATCTCCATTGTCTGTCACTTTGATGGTGATGTTATAGATCGGCACAGTCTCCCTATCCAAGGTCGTGTTTGTAATCAATACACCAGTGCTACCATTTATACTGAACGCATAGTCGGTGTTTCCAGATGTTAACATGAAAGTTAAAGGGCTTCCATCTACATCGGTCGCATTAAATTTCACAACATTCGTTCCAATGGCAACTGACTCGCTAACATATAGAATAGGTGAACCAGGTTCAAAGATAGGAGCGTTGTCGTTTGCATTTTCCACAGTAATGTTGACCAGAGCTGTATCATTCAGTGATGGACTACCACCGTCACTTGCTGCAATCAAAAAATGATTGAGATGTGTTGTTTCACTACACCCCTGGAAGACGAGCAGCCAAGTTAGGAATTATGAGAATTTAAATGAAACTCTGGGAGGGGGGGGGACTCAATCTGCACACAGAATGATGGATGAATGTCTTTCGGCAATAAAACTCTGGGAGGAGAGAGGGTCAATCATTAACTTCATGCCAACTGCACACAGAATGATGGATGAATGTCTTTCGGCAGCTACAATGATGGATAGACTGGAATTTATTAAAAATTTAAATCTAAAAGCACTACCTTTAATAGTAAGTAGATAATGTTTTTGGGATTCATAGTCAATCTTCCTGGCGGTAACGATAAAACCATTATCTTTATCGATATTAAAATGATCACTATTGTCTCCTCCTGTAATACTGTACTCAATTTGACGATTGATTCCTTCATCTCTGTCTGTAGCCATAACCTAATGGAAAGACAAAACTAACATCAATATATGATATAATCGAGATGGCGTTTTTATGTAATATCACACCGATTATTTTCATTTTTTTATGTTTTTAATCACGTTCCAGTCCATCTTTTTTAAAATGAAAGCATGACTGTAAAAACCGTGGTTGTATTCCAACCATAAGACCTCTACATCTACCTGAACAACAAAAGAGCCAATTGAAACATCTTCAGCAATCACTCCTTGATATGGATCGTTGGTGAACATCGGTTTATTGTCGTTAACGTCCATCACTTTTATGGTGACGTCAATGCTTGACGACTGACTCGGCGTTCCACGATCGCTGGCTCTCACAGTAACACGATAGCTGGCGACGGCCTCCCGATCTAGCGACGAGTTCACCGCAATAACACCAGTCGAAGGATGGATGGAAAATCTTGAAATTAAGTAAAGTGTAATCATGTGGAGGCACGTTAACACTTACACATTGATATTTGTGATGACACAGATGATTTCCCTATTTAAATACAAACACTTACGTATTAATATTTGTGATGGTAAAGACGATTTCACCGTTCAATCCTTCATCTTTATCATTGGCAAAAACTCGCCCAACCATCGTACTCAAGGAAGCATCCTCACTGACACCAAAACTGAAGGATGACTGATTAAATCTTGGTTCATTATCGTTTAGATCATTTACAATTACGTTAACGATAACATTGGAGCTTTTACTCGGTGATCCCCCGTCTTTTGCGATGATCTCAAGCACGTAGCTGGATGTTTCTTCCCTGTCCAGACTTACCAAGGCCTTTATTTCGCCGTTGTCCTAAAATGAAGGAAAACATTGTCGGAAACATGAAGGAAACATGAAGGAAAACATTGAAGGAAAACATTGTAGTTGCAAGAAAGTTTAAGCAAAAAAAAAACACAATCTAATGGCCATTTTTCGTATGCTAGGAAACAACCAAATTCCGCTGCTTGTTGACACAAATAAAGCCTTGAGTTAAATTGGAGTGATGTTTGATGATCCTAAGTTCTTAACACATGTTGAAGTGGTCGTATCAAACGTTCTGTACAATTAATATCGACACAAATAAAGACGATCATTCACTACAGCCATGAACAAATTATCAAAGAATTTTGAAAAAGCTGAAAAGTGCTGGGCACGAGATTTGATTTTAGGCTTTACAAAAATATACTAATCTTATCATAAATGTAATTGGTTCGATAAGATGTTTGCGCGACTGCGTTAAGAAACTGAGTGAAAATTTTTCTTCATAGGATATTTTGGCTAAAAATACCACTTCAGAAATTGATCATAATCAGCTTTAACATTGAAAAATATTCTGGAAATATGCACAGTAACGATAATAGCAAGATAAAGGCAGGCAAATGTTCATCAGCCAAAATTAATATTCGACATGACAAAACGAGAGACGAAAACATTCCTTTACCTTATCGACGCTAAATCTAGAGTTTTGCCTGGCAAACTCATACGAAATAGAAGCATTTTCGCCAAAGTCGTCATCCAAAGCGCGTACGCTACAAACTCGAGAATTAATGGCAGAATTTTCATCAATAGTACAGTTGTATGGATTCTCAAGGAACTTCGGTGCGTTATCGTTTTTATCCAAGATAATTACTTCGACAGTGGTAGAGGAGGATAACATGGGATTGCTTCGATCAGTTGCCGTCACTACTAGAGAATACCTGGTGACACTCTCGCGATCTAAAACCTTCTTTGCTTTTAGAATTCCAGTAAAATCAATCACGGACCGAAATTGACCCGAGTCTGCATCACGTGCAATGACCGTGCCAACCACGTGGTTAGAGTCAAGATTCTCGCTCTCGGACCCAGTGTATGGATTGCGATCGAATTTGGGAGCGTTATCATTGACATCTGTGACGCTAATCGAGACAGATGTGGAGGTCTTTAACCCACCTCCGTCAGTTGCTACCACCGTTAGATTGTAAGAGTTAACTTTTTCGTAATCCAATGGAGTTAGACTACGAATACGACCTGAAGTAGAAAAAAGATATAAATTACAAATAGCAACGGACCATAAAGATGCCGCCATCAAAGCATGACCGTAAGAAGATCGATAATTGGGAGGGGGGGGGGAGGGGAGTTAGCTAATATTCACATATGCATGATATGCTGTGTTAAGTTCCTATGAAGTCAGTGGTTTTCTACGAATCACAATTTATATAAATGAATGTGAGCCCCCCCCCCACAAATTATCGATTTTCCTACACCCATACATGAAAGTACTGGAGGTTATTATTGTGGAAAACTTTTCATGGGTCAGGTCAAAGGAACTTTCTCTACTTAATAAAAGTATAAATTCATGTAGTATTTCTTAGTTCAGACGATTTAAACAATCATCTAATTATCGCTTGTGTTTCAAACCTCTCTCACAAAAAGGTAATGTAAATGTCTTCCGTAGCAAAGCCCACACATGAAAAGGTAATGTAATATCTTCCGTAGCAAAGCCCACACATGAAAAGGTAAGATTTTTACACAAAAAGGTGATGTACATGTCTTCCGTGGCAAAGCCCACACATGAAAAGGTAATGTAATATCTTCCGTAGCAAAGCCCAAACATGAAAAGGTAAGATTTTTACACAAAAAGATAATGTAAATGTCTTCCGTGGCAAAGCCCACACATGAAAAGGTAAGATTTTTACACAAAAAGGTAATGTAAATGTCTTCCGTGGCAAAGCCCACACATGAAAAGGTAATGTAATATTTTCCGTAGCAAAGCCCACACATGAAGAGGTAAGATTTTTAAACAAAAAGGTAATGTAAATGTCTTCCGTGGCAACGCCCACCCATGAAAAGGTAAGATTTTTACACAAAAAGGTAATGTAAATGTCTTCCGTAGCAAAGCCAACACATGAAAAGGTAATGTAAATATCTTCCGTAGCAAAGCCCACACATGAAAAGGCAAGGTTTTTACAAGAAGCATTTGTTCAATTTTAATATAAGATAATCACAAGAGTATTTTGTAATAAGTAGTGGTTAATCCAGGCTTTGTGTTGTACATTTTCTTGATATCGTACAGATAAAAACAATACTTTACCATTTGCATCTACAGAAAATGTTTCATCCAAAGGAGCATTGATGCTATAGGTTATACTACCAAACACGCCATTATCTTCATCTGTAGCAAATACCTATGTCACAAAAGAAAACTGTTTTTAACAGGCTCTTGAATGGGAAAAAATTCAACATCGCGGGTTAAAAACATAGGATTGAAAATAGCAAATGGATAAGTGGAGAATCATGTGACCGAACAAAACAATGAAAAAGCAGATAGTTAATTCAAGCGCTACAATTGGTACATGTATAAGGACACGTGATCGTAAAATGGATGATGATTGGTTACCGTAATCAAAGGATTTTTGATATCAGCATTCTCGGGAACAGAGATCGAATACGGTGTGCCTTGAAAAACTGGAGAATGGTCATTGGCATCGCCAACATTAATCTTCACTGTTGTCTCAGTACTGAGTGATGGCGAACCAGAATCCTTAGCTTGTACAACCAACGAATATGAAGATCTAAAAATGACGTGAAATGTAATGTAACGTAACATGATGACTGACAAAAATGACCATGTGTACTGACAATATCATAAATCTCAAGTAATCGCATCAGTCCTAACAACTTTAAAGTAAATTGTCCTAAAAGCCATATAATAGCTCATGAAAATGATCAAAACCTACTTTGTTTCCCTGTCCAATGTCAAGGCAACTGTTATAACACCAGTATCAGCGTGAATTTGAAAAGCACCATCACTATTTCCTGAGCTTACAGAGTACTTTACTTCGCCATTGACACCTAAATATATACATTATGACTTTTTACAGTGGAGCTGTAATTTCTCACGGACAACTTTCAACATTCACTTGAACTCTTTATTCGGTAAACTTTTTGGTCGATTGACTTTCATTTCCTTTTCAAATTGTTGCAAATTTGCAAGCGCGTCGATCAAAAGGTTAAAAGTGTTCATTTACTCGATCCCGGCTTTACATAAAGGTTTAAAACTAACACTGGGGTTACATTAGGTAACTAATGATCACTTTGAAAGAGGAAGAAGGATTTTGGTTGAAATACATCAAACTGTTGGACACTGTTCTTTAAATATAAAAATCATGCATGCAATCATATAATTTAACGAGTTTAACGATTTAACTCTAGTTTTCATACCAGAATCCTTATCCGTAGCGTTCACATTTATAACGAATGTGCCAATGCTAGATTTTTCCAACACTTGCACGACATATGGCGTTCCTTGGAACACAGGTTCGTTGTCGTTCACGTCTGTTACATTCACAATGACCATTTCAGAAGCATTATTGTTCCCGGGTCCTTGGTCGCACACAATGGCAGTTAAAACGTAACTCTTCTTCACTTCGTAGTCCAGTGTACCAGTTATTGTTATAGTCCCGTTGTCTTCGTTGATACTAAATTTGCTTGAATCCACTCCAGTTAAAGAATACTTGAGCTCAGCATTAACACCTTTGTCATCGTCTGCAGGTGAAACAAAGATTTGCATGAATATAGGAAATTATTCTGAAAGCCTCTCAGCCAAGTAAATATTGTAAATTCACACTCTTAATAGTTTACGTTTTAAAAGAACATTTTAAACATTAGGATAAATTCGTTTCATACACAAATTAGTCAGTCGATGAGAAATGAAAGTGAAGAACAGATAGTTTATACCTGAAGCTTGAACCTGTAAGATAGGGGTGCCAGATGCTTCACTTTCAGGTACATTAACCTTATAAGGACCGGAAAACTTTGGGCTGTTATCGTTCACGTCACTAACTGTAATGAGCACACGAATACTATCAGTCAGCGGTGGCAACCCGCAATCTTTGACAGTGATGTAAAACATATATTGTGCCTGTGTCTCGCGATCAAGCGCAGCCTTGGTTAGCAAATCTCCATTGCTGTCAATGCTGAACTTTTCTGCTTCTACTCTTGGAACATTGTACTGAAAGGTACAATTTACATCTTTATCTGGATCATTGACGATTAACTTGCCGACGTTCGTACCATTTCTAGACTCTAGAATAACAAAATATGTTTTGATGTTTGGCATATTTTTTAGCAGGAGCAAACTTAAATTTTAACATATGACGCTTTAGTGCCCTAAATTCCCAGGGTGTCGGGAGGCATGAACCAAAAACTTGATTTTTTGGTTCCAAAATTTTTTCTTTTGTTTACAAGTGTTTTTATTATAAAATAAACTGTACTATCCAAGAATACTACAAAGTTTCAAACGTCTTCTCTGTCTTTTATCCTTAAAATTGAAGACAACCTTAAACATTTTTCATTGGTTTATACCTTTCACAATTCAACACTCTCATTGGCTGCTTCATATATTATGAGCAAACTGTCCTTTTTTCAAGACAAACAAAGATAATCTGCTTGTTTAGGATTACAATGAATACAATGATAACATTTAAAAAGCCAAGCCCGACTTGTATAGTCAACGAGAACTCAACTTTCAATCCTTATGTTATGACATTTTATTTCATTTTGGATAAAAAACCGATTTAAATGAATTTATTGAACTATTAGCTCATCAAGTGCTCACTTGCAGCAAAACTCATGATAAAGAGAAACATCAAAATTATCATGAAGTAAATTATAAGTTCTCTTAGTCAATCTACCAAAAAGTGTAGCTGTGTTTCTTTCATTTCAATTGGAGAGTGTAGTTTTTAATTTCGAGGCTTTTACTCGATAATTTTTGACATCTGAGAGCGTGGCGTATGCATGGAAAACAAAAATTTTCAAATACATCGAAAATGTCGGACACCTGACCATGAAAAAGTTAACGTACTCTGACATGTATCGTTCTTATACTCATCGTTCTGCAGTACTGCAAAGTTGCCTGGCAATCTTTCACAAAAAATATCAGAGTTGACAAAAGAAATCCAAATTAAATTAAGGGTTCGAAGAAAACATTTGAAAAACAACACCGTGAAGCAGTAAAAATAAATTATAACAATTTATGATGATTCAGAAATTTATAACGACGCGCGACAAAAAAGGACTAAGTACTAACGATGCACGACAAAAAGTACAAAGCACTAGTCATACCTTCTGATACCGTATAAATACAGTTGGCACTACAACTCAGCTTCAGTGCTTCATTAACATTTGTGACATGTACAACCAACTGGACAGAGCTGGAACGACGATTTGGTCGACCGTTATCCTCTGCCTTGATGATCAACGTGTATTTACGCGTCGATTCAAAGTCCAAAGAACCATGCACAGTGACATCACCATCAACGTCGATTTTAAACAAACCATTTTGACTGCCTGATGTAATGGTGTATGTAATACGTCCATTATCGCCAGAATCTGCATCTGTGGCAGACACCTGAACACCATTCAATAAAAAAAATTATAAAATTAATCTTGTAATAAGTAACCATACCTACGATACGATTTACGAAAACAAAAACTCAACATTTCTACGCAATTGATGATCATTTAACTTCTTATGTGTTCTGACAATTAAAAAAGGAGGCGAACAATCGTTACATGTTTGTAGATGTAGATCGTCAAGGTTAGTAGAGTCCTCGGAAGGACTGTTAGTATTGATGTTGATTGATGTTTCGACAATAATTTCGGTAGTAATCTACAGAGTCCAATGAAAAGCAAATGTCCAGTTCCCCGTGTTTTTTTTTGCACAAAAAGTCATCAAGACGGCACTAATCTAAATGATCAACATCGACAAACACGTAAATAAAAAAGCTAACATCACCTTTATAACATGAGTTCCAGCCCTCGAGTTCTCAGGAACACTGGCAGTGTAACTATTCTTGTCAAATTTTGGACTGTTGTCATTAATGTCAATGACATTGACAATAACGAGCGCACGGCTCTTATGACAAGGATTCAACGTATCAATTGCAACAACGACAACGGTGTGTTTTTTGGCCGTTTCATAATCCAATGCTTTCATCGTTGATAAATTGGGTGCCGATGAAGTAACGGAGAAAATGGACTTGTTTCCGTCGGATATTTGGAAAGTCAAACTAAAATAAAAATAAAAACTGCTAATAAACGTTAAGTTTAGGATCGTATACAACAGACATATCTATCAGTTGACACATCATCCATGGTTGCTAAGTCGTGTGATCAATCTCACACTCTTCCACCCAAAACATTCTCTCCAAAACTCATATACACCAACTCTTATTCTCACCAAACTTTATCTTAAGCAACTCTTATTCTCGCAAGCACTTCAATTTATCAACCATTATATCCTCACAATTCTTTATACGCTCCCCAACCCTCACACCCCCACCAACCGTTACCCTCATCAACCCTTATACTCTCATCAACCCTTATACCCTAATCAACCCTTATACCCTCATCAACCTTTATATCCTAATCAACCCTAATACCCTAATTAACCCTTATACCCTAATCAACCTTATACCCTCATCAACCCTTATACCCTCATCAACCCTTATACACTCGCCAACCCTTACCCTCATCAAACACAAGTTACTTACTTGTAAAGGTTTGGTACCAAACTCAATTGTAGTATTTCACCAGCATTTCCACCTTCAATCACATTCACTTGAAATTTTCCACTATTTGCAAACAAGTTATCCCAAAAGGAAAGAGTAAACTCATTTACGGCAGCTTGTCCTTGTACGGCAACATATACCGTCTACAAGTCAAATAAATAGTCGAAGAAACAAGTCAGTAAATATATAAAGACGCCAAGTCTCTTAAATACCAAGAAACTGTGTACATATGAGCTCGCTCGCTTATCTTCACCATCAACGAGAAAATATTTTTTAAATATATCAAATGCAATTATATTTACCTTAGTAGTGTTGTCAACAACAACGGACACAGCTTTAGGCGAGGTATTCTCTTCATTTTTAACGCTAGCTGTATCCAAAGGTCCGGGATTCTTACTCCTGGAAGATGCGTACAAATGGCTCACACCTATTAAAGCGAAAATAATGATCATAATATGAGGAAATAGACAAGGTTTTTGACGAAATCAATTAAAAGAATAAAAACCCACGATGCACATATGGAAACTTGTAAAGTCCAATAAATAAAATTTATATGAAACGTTTTTGAAACAACCACATAATGACTGTTGAGAAATGAAAAATACCCGATAAAAAGTGTATATCTCCCTTCATAACCTAAACACACCACTAAAATCATTAATGTAGAATCCACACACCCAGTAATACCTTTCAAATCCCTGATTTCAATGCTGACCTCGGAGCTCGTCACGACGACAAACGTTGTACGAAAATATTTAAAAGAACCGCTATCGACTGACGTTTTTGCCACTTTGCATGAATCGATCGAAGAACCCTCTGTTAAGACAACGTTGATTACATTGCAATGACATTAAAAAAGAGAAGTTAGGAATCTTAAAATTAGGATTTCGTGTCTTCTTTAGATGTAAAATTTAAAAATATTACTTAAGTATACAAAGAAGACTATAGAAAGAAAAACACAAAACTTTAAATAATTTTTGCAGTAGTTTTTAAGTGATGTTTGTAATTTGACTAAATCCCCTTCTATAGCTCCAATAAATGTTTTCCTACGCTTCAGTAATAATTTCCTGACAAAATCGCTCATAAAAAGATACATGTAGTACTCCTTACCACCACAGGAATCGGAGCTGACGCGATCCACGAAACTCGCAAGTTCATTGAAATTACTCAGAGTAAAAACATAATCCTCGTCAGGATCAGAGGAAATCTCTCGTAGTTCTGTTTGTGATATGGAATCACCAACGCCAATACAAAAGATACTTACGCCGGCCGCTCGTAACTTAGTGGCTGGTATGATTGGTTTAACATTGCCGTTCGAGTGACCGTCGGTTAAAAGAATTAAAATCTTTGGAATACCTATAAAGGGGAAAAAAATGCGTGAACAAACTGCTAAAAATTCATGTGATGTATCAAAACATAAAATTGGCTTATTTATTGGCTCAAATTTGATTGGTTAAGTATTTCTGGTTGAAAGCGAATCAGCTTCGAGAATGAAGCATAGTATCCACTATGATTGGCAGACTTCTCAGTAGCTTTCGTCTGTTGCAAAAACATGACCACGAAACAATGAAATTAAAGTAAATGAAGATATTTTTAGCAAATCAACACTCGTCCAATCGAAAATTACTATCATCGACACTCAACCAATCACATCTCACCATCGTAAAAAATTCACCAATCACAACTTACCATCATCAACACGCATTCCAGCCTCCTTTGTCAACACACGCTGGCGTACTGCATTCAAAGCTTCACCAGTGTAAGTAAGAAAACCGCGATACTCGACATCATCCACCGCATTCCTAAGCTGGGTTTTATTGAAATACTGACGAAGTTTGAAGGCAATATTTACAACAACATCATATGTGACGACTGAAACATGTGTACCGTCGACTCCAATGTTAAAAAAATTGATTACGCGCTTAACAAACTCCTTTACTTTTTCGAAATCATCTTTTTTGACACTACCAGAGTTGTCCAGGAGAAAAACAAGGTCAATGGACGTCTGACAAACTAAAAAATACCAAAAAACAATCGAATTGAATAAAGTCCCAATGTAACTGGGTTACTGTTGAGATAATTTACCCAAGCAAATTAAAATATAAAAAGATATTACACAATTCGCACACAAGTTATGTTTTGAGCAAGGGAGTAACGTTACATGTTTGTAGATGTAGATCGTCCAGATTAGTATAGCCCTGAGAAGGACAGTTTAGTGTTGACTGTTGTTATGACATCCTTATTAGAAGTCATCTTAAAAGTCAACACTTCTCAGGACAGCACAAACCTTGACGATAAACATTTAGATCACAAGTTATGCTCAAATTACAATAACGCTATAGGATGGCTGCAACGGGGCAATCCAAACACTAACCATCCGGGATAACAGATGCCCGTATGTAATTCGGATCATCAAACGTGACCCAATCAAAACCAGCTTCAATGGCAAGGCCAGCCAGCCGCTCGAGATTACGCTTTCCACCTGTAGTCGTAAGTTTTAGAGAACGACCTGAAGGAAGAAAAGCATGTACAGAGTTAGCATGTTTAGAACATATCTATAGTGAGTCAGGTCTGTTTCAAACGTTGAACTTTACATGCACCGAACGCATTAAAGACAAAAGAAAATGAGATGAACATCCTCATTATCTTTTGTTCTAAATGCGTTTGGTTCATGTAAAGTTCAACGTTTGAAACAGACCTTAGCCTTCCATATGATACGTGAATGAATCGATGTTAATGTCTTGGTATCCCCCCCCCGTTATTCTGTGGGTGAGTGCAAGCGCATCACACAAATGTAGTAAAAAATTACATGTATGGTTACACTGCTTCAGTTGTCTTTAAAACGAGGCGATGCAAGAGATCAATAGACACCAATAATATTTCTATATATCAGCATGTAAACAAGGTGGCCGTATTAACATGCATGTAACTTGTCACATCATATTTTATGATATTATTGATGATGCTCGATCTCATTTGATATTAGGAAAGATTTCATCAAAAGATTACGAAGAAAACAGATAAAAAACTTCAAGGAACATTGAGTTAACTCTAAGATAATAACAAAATGCTTTTAGCTATATTGTCTTTTGAAACGCGAGCCAAAGAAGGTTTTGTCGTCTACGATCATAAATATTTTTTCGTATATTGGTCTCATCGAGTTTCAAAAAAGCAAACGTGTATTCAAATCACCTAAATCCAAACTATGTTCATATCATAAAACTTAAAAAATACGGTAAAGATATCACGTCAAAGCGGAAATTGACACGAGTGGTGCCCATGACGATCCCTTGTTATCTCTTTTATTTAATAAAGTAAATGGTTTTTTATTTAATGTCAACTTTTTTTAATCCTTTTTTTGCGAGATAAGCTAAAGGGATGAAAATAAACTTCACGTGTTAAACACTTCACGAAAATGACTGCAGTATTGAAAATTGAAACGAAGTTCAATATTTTAATCGTGTGAATATGTTAGTTCGGGCAAGTAAAACCGGCAATTGACAGATGTCAATAGTGAAATGAAGACAAATTTAAAAGGGGAAGAAGAAACGCAATGAAGTGTATTCTACGATAACTTACAATTACATGTCTCTGCAAAGTTGTATGTATGTTATTCATTCATATTTTTCTCAAATAAGGTGATTAAGATTAATAAGGCACTTGGTGTATGTAAATAAATTCCAAACGTAAATATTCACTATTTCGAGTGGAATTTCTTACAAATGTCATGTTCATATCGGGGAAAGTAGAGAAAAATTCATCAGCTACACTCCGACAGTCCGACAGGAATTTTCAAACACACTAAAACCTTTCAAAAATGCGTCGATGTCATCGAAGTCTTAAAGGACACATGCAACATAAAATTCGGATTGTTATTTTTGTACTTTACATAAAGGTACAGCTCCAACTAATAGTTCACCAAAGTTTGAGACTCAAAGGATAAATATTTTAGAAGATATGGTGGTTTAAAGTTGATGCTTTACTGATAACGCATTGAAAATGCCCGATGAGCTAACGACGGCTACCGATTGGAAAAAGGTCGTTGTGACGTAATAGTTGACATTCGCTTAACGCGGTCAATTGCGCGCTTCGTTCAAAATATATTGGTAACTTCTTCATAACACGACGATTTAGCATTGAAAATTTGGTTTATTGTGCCGCATTTAATTGTAAAAACGGTTCTTCTAAGAACCACCAAACGCAGCAAAAGGTTTCTTTTTTTTCGTTTTCCGAAAACAAGCGCATGCGAGATATTTGGATTGAAAAAATCCGACGCAAAAATTGGAAGCCAACAAAGAGCTCAAAATTGTGCTCGCAACATTTCGAGAGTTCGTGTTTCGTGCAAAATTTTGAAGCGATGCAATCAGTAGGATGGACAGCAGGACGGCTTCGCCTTAAGAAGGATGCTGTACCCACGATTTTTGAATACTCTGTGGAACCCACAAGTGTAGCATCTAAAAGGAAGCAGCCAACAAATTTTAGAACTGCATTTGAGAAGAGACGAAGGCAAGAGGTGATTATTATAGTTATAGTTAGCAATATTTGTTTACATTTATCAACAACAAAGCTATTACCATTACCAAATTGAGGACAATTTTATAATTTTAGATTATTGACGACGTTCTTGCAGAACATGACGACTTTCTTGAAGGAGACGACCACGATGTGTCGACATCGGCTCGAAATGTCAAAATATATGTAGACAGCGAAACACAAACATATACAGTGGTAACTAATTCAGACTAATGTCGTTTGATTTTTTCTTTGTTATTTTAACTCAGAAAATTCCTTAACGTACCTTAGAAGCGCAATGTGAAATGCCAAGCAGACATAACAATCCGTCCGCAAAAACACGTAAGGTCAAGAACCACTCAAACAAAAGTGCCAAATATGATAAGTAGAGGTATAGACTTTCCAATTCGGCCATTTTGATTTTTGTGAAAAATCCAGCAATACGATAATTTTACGCTAAGGTACGGAGGTTGAGTTAATTTCAACAAAAAATCACAGCACACAAACGACGTCATGTGAAATTGAACATTTTGAGGATAGCGCTGTATGGTCTGATACAGAAAGCACGTCGACGATGAGCAATAGCTACAATGGATCAGACTCTCACTCGTTTTCTTCACTCTCAGGCATAGGTCCAATGTCATGTGTGTACACGACCATAGCTGTTTTTACGACAGCTTCGTTTGTACACACTGTGGCAAACTCTTCCTCTTGTGTGATGCAAATATGATCGCCATGTATCAGAGGATCAGTATTGTTTACCTCTTGGCAAGATATACTTTCCCGTCCTGTACTCATGACCACACAAAAGCCACACTCACACCTAAAAGATAAAAACATTGTTTTTACTTTGGGAAAAAACAATGAAGCATCAATAAAATGCAACTAACCATTCAACATTTCCAATTCTGTGAATGTGTTTATCTTCGCTTTCCGATGACGGAGAATTGTCATCATTATGACCACCTTGCGCGTGGCCAAAGGCTCAAACATGTAAGGTTGTACCTTATTGTTATTGATGATAATATAATAATCGGCTTCTTCTTCAGAAGAATCCATTAATCTTTGATAAATAAAAAAGAGTAATAGCAAACTACCGAAAGCCGTGCAAGCACTGCATGCAAGTCGTAGAACGATATAAGAACGATGCTTGTTTATGTCAACTAAAACGTCACTCTTTCCCAGTTCCCAGACTTAAACAATCTCACGGCGTTTTAGCAATGGTCATCGAATATCGTGTTTTTACCGATTATAATCCTAAATATCTTTTGAAATATTTTGCGGACAACTTTGAAACTTGGTAAGTCTTATTTTCACGCTATAGGCATTACAATAAAATAAAGTTGTTTTCTAGCGTGCATGTGTCCTTTAATAGGATAAGTAGGAAATCTTGCCAAGTTTTCAAGATGTTCTTGACAGGAATACTTGTACACCGGAAAATACTTTGTGCACTTGTTCATACGCGCCTCGATCCAAAATAGGCCAACAACAAAAAATTGGCAATCACGCTACTGTACGCAAGTTCAAGTAAGAGTTTCATTACGTGTAAATTTATGAAGTTTTTTATTCGACAGGCATTACAATATTTTGCTCGTTGCAACGGAAATTAGTTTTCCTATCGTTAAGACAAGAGACAACGCAACAACGACGATAGCAGTGTCAATATTTATAATCCGGAGGTCATAAAACACTAACTGCTTGGACGACACCATTACTCAATCACAAAATACAACAATATGGCAACAAGAAAAACTGAAATTCGCAAGTTTTTTTTTTATCAAAAATGGACAACCACGATATTGACGTTGCATCGCGAAAAATTATTGTAAAGTGTAAAACTTTCATATCTTGTGTAACCAATACAGTTTTAAAGCTATTAACGCTAGGACTTAGTGGTGGTAAATCTAAATGTAGCATTGTGCTTGAAAATGCGCGAATGAAAATGCGCTGTAAGAACAAAGATTCCAATTAACATTCCAAAATCTTGAGTAACGTATATCTTCCTGGCCACTTCCAAACATTACAAAAACTCGAAGAAGTCTTCTTCAGAAACAATGAAATTGTTTCTGTCGAGTTCATGCATCCTAGCGATCAGTTTTAGGATTTTTGCTTAAGACCTAGTTGTAGTTTTTGAATACACAATGAATTTTGTCGAATTCAATAATGAAGATATAGATATATATATGAGAGATCATATAAAATCCTCGCGAAATTCAAGTCAACAACTCAGGATTTCTAAAATGGAGTTTCTTAAAAAATAAGAAGAGTTCATTTGGGTCTGTCACTTTCGTTAAAAATGAATGCAAAAAATAAGAAAAAAACGAAACTGAATTATCATTTCCATTTCGGAAAAAAATCGGTCCGATTGTTTTGTGGCCGATTGCCTTTCAATACATTAGTATAAATAGCAGTCGCATGAGTCAATAGCTGAAATATAGTTTAATACAAATCAATAAATCAAAACAACATACCTTCATAATGCAATGAAATAGGATCATCTTCACGAACTTGATCTGTCCACGCTTGAATCACGCGCACCTTCTCTCTTTTCAATACATTGTTTACAAGAGATGCGAGGACATCCAGTTTGCTTTTTGCACGAGACGTCATAAAACGAGCGTCTTCGTTTTCATACTCTACTTCATTATTTGTGTTTCGTATCAAAATCCTGAAGAAGCGTCCTGAATTGCGAACGATAACATCGCGGATGGTACCACAAACATCTAGCTCATCTCTGTTGGGAAATCTTTCGTTTCGAGATAAGGTTTTAGGTGGCTTGGTAAGAACTGCTACGATGAACAATAAAACTCCATAAATAACTAGACGAGAGCGATACGACATTGCAGTACGCCTCTTCTCCACGGCGTCCAAAACACGGTGAGTTTGATACAATCAATAAAGTATACACGTATTTTACTTGGCTGAAAAACGATCAGGTTGTCTTTTCAACTTTTCACACAAGTCATTGAAAAGAGTTCCACAGTGAGTCTGTCAAAAATTCAATATGATGGTGAGAATATATGGGCACAGGAAGTGACGTAGTACTTGTTATAAGTATATGCTCGTTATGCTAATATACTTCGTGATTATTCGCAAGCGCACCGGAGTGTTTTAGCACTTACAGAAATTTCACATATAAACTAGACAACAAATTCCCAATTTTTAGACATTGTACATCTACGTACATTGTCATATATCGATAAACATGAAACCAAACGACCCCAAACGTCCCAAGGAAAGGATTTCCCGAGGGAAGGGCGATAAATGTAGTAAAGTGTATATATTTGCACCTGGCCAATTGTGGTACTATAAATATATGAGAAATGTCATTTTTACTAAAAAGGTATGACTGATATAATGCGAAAAACCATTTAAAGACAAACTCTTCTGCATGAAACAAGTTTTATATTTGACAAAGAATGGGCGTAAAATTTAAAGACGTAAACTTTAAGAGTCCTTTCCATGGTTCACAAAGAGATGGGTGTAGATAAAAAGCGGACCCGGACGACGGACGCGGACGGTGGACGCAAAACGCGCAAATAAAATGCTTTTACTCCGTTTGTAAAAATACTCTTATTCTACGTCAAAAAATAAACATGGAAAAGCTAAAATAAAAACGAAACTAAATGATGCTTTTAAGATAAGGCACATGCAACGGACTAAAAGCATTTTATTTGCGCGTTTTGCGTCCGCCGTCCGTCGTCCGGGTCCGCTTTTTATCTACACCCGTTGCATGTGCCTTATTGTATTAAACTTAGATTGAAGAATGAGCATGAGATATTCCTTCGGGAATTCGGCATAATTTTCTAGACAAGAGAATCTATTTTGGTGTTGTCATATAGTTTAGGTTTAACAAAAATTATTTATTATTCTGCTGATCTCTTTTTTTGAAGTTTGACTTAAATGCAGTGCAAGCAAAAAGGTCACCTCAAAATTAAGTTTCAAGTAAATTATGTCGAAGAAGATGAACGTATAACATTAAATATACAATTTCAAACTCTTCACATATTTTGGGTTCATTGCCTATTCATTTCTGCATAATTAAGTCTTTCAAAATTTAGCTGTAAATATCATCGTACAATCATTAAAAACAGAGCTGCACGAAACTGTTTCCACTGTTTGCCTATACCTATGTCTCTTAAAAGCATCATTTAGTTTCGTTTTTATTTTAGCTTTTTCAATATTTATTTTTCGACGTAGAATAAGAGTACTTTACGAACGGACTAAAAGCATTTTAATTGCGCGTTTTGCGTCCGCCGTCCGCTTCCGTCGTCCGGGTCCGCTTTTTATCTACACCCACTCTCATATTCTTCCTGTCATTAGTAAATAATTAAGTCAAGTGTAGCTAACTAAATGATTATTTTAAGAGATACTTATGTGCAATAATGACAATATTTTTTATAGTTCCTAATAGCTTTCCGTTGATTGTAAATTAACCATATTTAGTAAAGAAACAAATATATCCACACGTAATATCTTGTATAAATAGAAGTAGTTTAACCTTTGTAAGATAGATCGTAGACAACAGACATTGACGTTGAACATTAAATGTGATCATAACAGTTATCTGTAATATCTCTATTTGTTGGTGTAAGTCAATATATACTAAAGAAGGTAGATGGCTACATCACAAAACCTAACATTTCCTCATTATCTTTTGTGTTAAATGCGTTCGGCTCATGTAAAGTTCGACGTTTGAACCAGGCCTTTTAAGCACTTGTATGACAACAACATCATTTTAATAAAGCATATAAACGCGTTTGCAAGCAAGGCCACGATATTCTTTGTTCAGATCAAAGAAAAACCGTCGTTTGTAAAAAGTGAAGGACTTCATGTCTTTCAACTGCTTGTGAAGCAAAATTTGGCTTTTAAGTGATAGTTAACAAAAGAGAACTTAAAAAAAACACAGCAATCTTCTAAGGGGCTATTCTCATGAGCCTGGTAGCCGTGACTCAGCACAGCATTAAATCATTTTGGCAAATGGAAAAGATAAAATACTTCACAACAAACATTTTCTTTATGCAAGTTCCCTATGCTCTGACTTTTCAAATTCATACTGAAACCTTTAAAATAAAAACAAATAATTTAGCCTGATTTGAAAATTACGACTTAAATGACTTATGACGCTTAAAGTCCTGTTTGATAAAACTATAAATCGAAAAGCAAAATTTTTACTTTATGTGGAATTTTAAGTTTTGACTTATGCATGTTTCATGTCAAAACTGAACTTTCGAAACGTCAATAAACACATTTTATCGAAACTCACACATGCACCCAATGCTTTGGTTAAAGACACACTTAAATTTTTATCGATTTTTCTTGACTTTTATTTCTGATCATCAAATTTTAGTTTCGACTGTTACGGACTGTGCTCATCCGTATTTTTGAAACGCCATAGCTAATTTCAACAAGACATAGCTGTAGCTACAAAAAGTGACAATCTCATCTTCATTTTGCAATAGAACACGGTTATATTGTCTTCTATATAATAATTTATTATCACTAAAAACCATCAGCACGATAAATAAATAAAAAAACAGAATTCAATCTATGCTGGTTAAAGCATAAAACGCGTTTCTATATTTCCACGTGGCCTCTAAAGTTTGATATAGATAAAGAAATTTGCATATTGGCGAAATCTTATGGTACTGTTTTCTTTATATATACACATATCTCGGGTCTGCGAATTCTGTTTGCAAGAACTTAGTGTTTTTTATACTTCTTTGGCCCATTTTTTAGTACTTCGTGGCTCTTCGTGCTAGTTTTTAGGAAAATGGCTAGCAAAAATTCCGTACAAGCTGGTCGTCGTGTTCTTCATCGATCCGACGTCCCATTGTCATCACGTAAAAATGTATTTGTTGTGTGACGATATAGAGTCCAACGGCCATCGTATTCTTCACTCTACATCAGTAGCTATAATTCTAGGAAATACAAAAATTGTCGCACTTTTAGTTTAGAACATATTTTAACAAATGTGAGACTCTATTAACCCTCTAGAGGTCGTTGTTGCTCACAGGCAACAATCACCAAACGCGACGCGTACAAACTTTTGAAAACGCCCGGCTCCTAGAGGGTTAATGGCAAGGACTCAAGTAAGAAAGAACAATCTTAATTTTGTTATACAAACATTTGTACGAACAAAAAATAAATGATTTGAATCCTCGTAAAATGCATAAGTGTATATGTTATGTACTGGCTGGGATGTCTGTATTGAAAAAATATTTTCGCAAGGTCTCAAAAGCGGCCAGATGCGAATAGCCGTGGGACGCTTCTGAGACCAAAGAAAATGTTTTTTTAGCTAATAAGGACCACCCAAAACGGTAAATAACGTTTTTATTTTTCTTTATTCTTATGAAGCAATTCACGTTGTATGTGGCTTATTGAAAGTAGAATTGGATTTTTTTGTACAAAGCTCATTTCGTCTGGATGGTAAAATTCACTCTCTCTATGATAACTACTATCAGAATAAATTCTGCTTTCTCCTTGAACAATTTACATGCATGGCTTTCGAATCAAGTTTAAAAATTTAAATTTCCTTTTTGCCAGGAAATATAGCTATATGTTTGTAAATGTAGATCGTCCAGGTTGGTATAGTCCTGAGAAGGACTGTTGGTGTTGTTGTTGACTGACGTTTAGTCGACCTAAATGGTAGTCATCTTCAGAGTCAAAAATTACATTTTTTGAAGACGACTACCGCTAAGGTTGTCGAAACGTCAGTCAACAACAACAAAAACAGTCCTTCTCAGGACTATACCAACCTGGACGATCTACATTTACAAACATGTAACGATACTCCCGGGTTCAAACCATTTACATTATTACGAAATATAGCTATTGCAAAAAATAGCGCTTTTGAAACTCGCAGTCAAGATATTGAAGAAAGCCGCCCGCCATCAAATCACATTTGCAGAAAATGAAAAAATAACCCTACTCATGAAAGACAAAAAACTAAACATTGTTATTTTGTAGATACACAAGAAAAACACTTGACCTTCTTTAAAAGACCGAAACGCACATATGTGGTCTCATTTTTAAAATTGATGTTTATATATGAATGAAAAATAGAATTCATATAAATACAGCATTGGAGGGGGCTTACAGATTTTTTTGTACTCCAATTACGGATTCAAGCCACTCAATAGAGACGACAAATAATCTCATTGTTATTTATTATGAGTAGTTACATTAATTCATCATTGATGCCGGGCTTTGAAATCGACATTGCCGGTCGTAGCGATTCAATTCACTTGCTGTTATATACATGAATATAAATGATTTGACCTCTTTTTAATTCCGTTTTTTTAGTAGCTTAAAACCGCGGCAGATTATCTTGTTAAAAAGTGCAGCCCTTCTGAGTCACTTATGTTTTTCATGTGCATGTAGGTAGTATCGTGTCGGAAATTGTGATTCTTGCCCAGCAAGACCCAAACTCAAAAACGAACAATTTTGCCACGTGTTAGAACGAAGAAATTTTACTACTTTGGGGGTTTTAATTGTAATTTCGACAACCTAGCTTCAGCATCTAGTGGTCATGCAGGCGGTGAAATACAGCTGCTTTGAAATTCAGTAGCGTTTAACTCCAGTTTCGAGCAACTTTTTGTATAGAAAACTGATCTTGAACAAATCATATTTTTGTTGTATTTCTTAGTTTAATGGAAAACTTCACCAAATGAAAAATGCAATCGATTGTAAGAGAAGTTTTCATCAGGCGTTTTGTTGCAGCTGGTTTTTAATGCACATCACTGT